ACCTGGACGCTGGTAATTGTCTCGTTCGCATTTATCGACTAAGGTAAACTCGTAATAGCGTCAAGCATACTTAGTGACGAACACAATAATGATCATCTGTAGTAGTAATTTTCTTATAGTGAATTAACTCATAAGTGTCAGCGGATTATTACAATAACAAATCAGATACCTTCTGATGAATTTTTTTAATTACTCAATAGTAAGAACTCGATGGTAAGAGATTTTCATTGTATTTTCTGAATACTAACCAATCTTAATTATTATGTGAAATATGTTGTTTCCTGTTGCTCTCAAACTAAACAACTGTAAATTTTATTCTTCTCGCCTCATTGATACTTTTTTGTTTAATCTCACAAAATTATCAAACGATAATGACAAAATTATTAGTTCATCATTAATATAAAAATGATTTTCAAAAAAAATCATTCAAGAAAATGAATTTATATGTTATAAGGTTCTTGAGATGGTAGTTTCATTGTGATCATGAATCAATCAATGTTAGACCGTTTAATGATTTAAGGTTTCAAATAGTGAGTGGTCTAACAGTGATTACTTCATGATTTAAATGAAACTCAACAATCGCCAGAACCGTATAATGCGAACTATCATGTGCTCACCGATAACTAGCTACGTGAGAAAATTCTAGGAATTCTAGTGATAAAACTTGATCACTGGAGTTCACCCGTGTCGGGGCAGTTACCAACCAAAGATAGTGGATAGGTTTGCGCAACACCGTGGACTAATTCATGTTAGACTGTAATACCGCTGAATGCCGGAACATTCGTGAGTTCCAAGGTCCAGTGTTCGATTTCCACGTGTGTAGGTCATGGATGTGCACTGCCGACGAGCTCCATACTAGAAAGAAACGCTCGTCTGGTGCCTTCAGCTTTCTAATAGTGTTTTAAAATTGACCGGTTCATAATTTAAGCGAAATTCAAACTTAAATATTAAAATTAGATTCCTAACAATAATTTGATAGTGTGACACTTTATTTTTATAATTCTTGTTTCATTTAAATGATTTTAATATGATCATTGAGTGACGTTGGTTATTTTGGTTGTTATTAAAAAAAAGAGGTAGTGAATTATTTAAACCAAAATTAATTATTGTTGTTTATGTTTCAATAGACATGAATGAATTGAAACAGCATTGATTAGTTTTTTATTTGTTTTTCTTATATCATTCATATGACTATTTGTCATTCTTGTCAATAGATTTAATTTAATTTCAGTCGACTTTCATTTCATTTTGAATGAGCAATTTTATTGTTGAGAAATTCTTGAAAATAATCTAAATGGTCAGGTATATATTTTTTGATTTGACAAGCATTTTTAGTTAAAGACGTGACCAATGGAGTTCAACCCTGTCGGGTGTAGGCAGTAACTACCAAAGACAAATAGGTGAGGTCGCGCAAAATCTGTCCCATACCAGGACGAAACGGCCGTCCAGTGCTTTAAGGTTTTTAATGGTGGTCTAACAATGATTGATTGATTTCAAATGTGTAAAGAAGGTTACCAAAGTTCTGAAATAGGTGATTTACTAAAATTCTTATCTGAACCTAAATAAATTTGGTTGAAAATATTGAACCATTATATATATTTTAAAATCTTAATACCTCTATACTGCTACTTACAAAAACTTAGGATTGTAAGTCTACATCTGTAAAGAACTGACTGTAGATATCTGCAAAAAGGCAAACGCAGAAACCTATTTGCCAACTTTATAGCTAAAATTAATTCACATAACATGAAATGAATAAGAATTTACCCTGATAATCTTTAAGCCTACGGTAATGTCACAATTTTCCTATCATTTCTTAAAGTTAATTCATATCAAAATACAGTTTCGAAATTATATATGCAACAACTATCACTCAGACAGATTGTTAAATATTCATAATTTCTAGTACAAAAATGTCACCAAATTAAAAAAGAGAAAAACAGACTGATAGCTTACGTAGATACGCATCAATTTAAGTTATCACTGATCACTTATATATATATATATATATATATATATATATATATATACATATATGTAAGTGGAATTAGGGACTGCAGTAAAATTATAGTGAATACAACAAGGCAAACGAAAAATTATAGAGTGCAGCTTAAAATAAGATAAAAAACAAGTGTGTTATTGACTCATTATAACTTATTTTGACTGGCAAATAATAAATTATTGTCCACAATATATATGTATAGTCATGATTGATAACGAGAGCTTAGTCTGAACGACTTTTAACTCAACCGATTTCAATGTTGAAAATCTTCATGATCCAATATTTTCTGATGATTTCCAATGATTTTCTGAGCTGATTCTATGCGATCCAGCGAAGAACAATGTGATGCCTATAAATATACAATCGTGCCAGCATAAAAAGCTATTAAACAAGTTAAATGAAATGGCCTATATTCGTGCTTTGATCAGAATATAAACATAGTGCTTGTGTCAGTAAATTTGAATTATTTTTTTTTAGGTTAGCGTGTTTTTGGCAAGTTAGTTTTTTGACGGGACGGGGTCGCCAGCCCCCATGCTCAATCCTCCTCTTTTATCTGGGCTTGGGACAGGCAGTAGCCCCGAAGGTTCTACTGGTGGAGTTTTGTGTCAATAAATACTTTAAGGAATTGTCAATATATAGTTTGATTTCAGCATAATTATAGTCTTTGCAACTTGATTTAATAATCTGAATTATATATTCTCAACGCCTTATTCAATCAACTTACGAGTAAATAATAGACATCTAGGTAGCTTATTTAATCCATAGGAAACTTTTTAAATATTTTTTGGCAGTTTATGCCAATCGGAAAGTAGATTGTAGCAAATTATTGTTTCTTCATGTAACAACATTTTTAAGTTTATATTTCAGAGACAATTTTATTCTTTAGTTCTAAAAATTGTTTATTATTACAATTATTAAATCTTGATATCATTTATCAAATAAATAGCAAAAAATCTTTTAGTTCTAGCGGATCATATTATTATAACAAATTTGTTATTCTTTTAACCAAATTCTCATTGTTTGCACTTTATCATTTAAAATAAGTTGATCATTTTCAAAATCCCATTACATAATGCAATTTATCAAGTTTATCTTGTTTTGCTTTTTTTTTTCCTATGAGATCAAAATAGCTTGACGACGACTATTGAATACTTACTTACTTGCCTAATGAATTTCACTTCCAACCAACTGCCGGTCTCTTCCTCCCCTCTGCATCAATACACTATCTATCTTGCCTGTTATGCTTAACATAAATATCATGACAAATTGACAAGATTAAATCAAACATCCTGTCATAAATAAGAAAACTACACTGCAAACATAAAAAATTCATTTTTTTTTTGCTTTTACAATGATCATCTGCACTAACATACAAATAATATCAGAGGAATATATATATATATGGAGAGTAACATTTGTAGCTTTTGGAAGCAAAATCCTACCACTTTGCCTATATAAATAACGATAATCATAATCATAATAATAATCATAATAATAATAGGAAATAAAAGAAGACAAAGTAAACGATACAGTGTGTAAATTTATTTGAAGCCATGTACAACAAACAAATCATAAAATGAATAGATTTTTCTGTGTAATATTGACAAGATATTTTTTATAAATTTAAATACAATTTGTCAGATCAGTGAACAAATATATATATATATATATGTATATAAGCGAGAGACTAATATAAATAAAATAAGCTTAACATAACATAAGCAGAAAGACAGAAAAATATTAGACAAATTTCTATACTTCAAAGTGATAGGAAATTATGTCGGGACAAGAAAACAGAGTACGAATAAATAAACATCACTTTTGGCTCAGTTTTAACGTTTCCAAGGAAGGAAAATGAATGCAACACAGTACCTGTATATATATATATATATTACCATTTAAGTAATGATTGACTACAAATGAATTACCTCTTAGTTGTTTCTGCAATATAAAGATGTATCGTATGAGACACACTGCATACTATAACAAAATAACATATTAGCTCTTCATAATTATCAATAGTTGTCTAGTTAGAGTCAGTCGGTAATGGAGAAATAACAATAGTAGCATCTGCTTCAACTCTTTGTACTAATTAGAATTCAAGTCAAATATTTATGTTTTCAAACTCCATCACTAGCCTTTCTAGGGGTTACTATCTACCTTCGACCAGAGTTAGTCAGATGATCTGAACATAGGTTTATATAAACTATTCCGCAAAAAAATTTTCTCACTCAGGAAACATTAATCAAACACTCGAATTATTTTGCGGCAGAGTTTTGGAGGTTTGTGTTTTTACGCATTTGAAATCATCAATCAATCATTGTTATACCACGATTAGAAACCTGGAAGCACTGAAACACAGCCGTTTCGTCCTGGTGTGGGACCACTCATCAGCAGTGCGCATCCACGACTCCTGCTCCTCGCAGGATTCGAACCCGGGAACTTCGGTATTGTGCGCGAACGCCTAACCATTATTGTTTTATTAAAGAGTGAAAGTATGTAGGATGGATTTGTAAATATTTTCGTAGAACTGTTAGTAAAAGGCTATCAAGAAAGTTAATAAACTTTCGCCTGTTATAAGTAAATTAGAATTGTGGCTACTGATGGGAGACTGATCGTTCACAGTGATTTGGCTCAGTGACGAGGAATACATCATTTTATGAAAAATTTTAATCAAAACTACTTGAGAATTTTAGTAATTGTTCATATACATACATATTTGGATATCCAGAATAAAATAATTTATCTTAGAGTTTGAAAAATCAATTTCCACATCCGATGTTTTGAGTACATTTTTATATAAAGTGATCGTGATTTACGACTGTGATTAAAAATTAGAATACTGAGTAAATAAAATATTATTAGCATCCAGATAAGTATTTGTCAAGTCAATTAATGCATTTGATGTAATTTATTTCAGATTTCAAACAAAGTAATTCATAAAAATTATAAAATTGATCATAATACATTGTAAAATCAATATATATTGATTACTTACGACACTTGATAAACTGTCTGTTGTAATCTGTCAGTTCATATAAATAATCCTTTGTCGAAGAACTGTTTGCATCATTTCTGTTAAGAAAAAAAAAATTCAAAATTTCAATTTACGTTAACTTTCAAAGTATAACAACAATGCAAAAAATGCAAATTATATTCCCAAATAACTCTGAAGAATTTATACGATCTCATTCAAAAGAATTTTTTCGGTAAATAAATTGTCTTTTGTTTTAATGAGTATATCAAAAATAATTCGTATTTTTGATTTCCTTACTTGTACATCTATTTACTATCGTTGAAATCATGTACTAGTCAATGTCAGACGATCATTGAAAACCAGGAAGCACTTAACCAATTTTTTGTGCCAATATGGAGTTCCTCAGCAGACGGCACCTACATTTCTATATATGACGTTAGCGTACAAGACCGAAGGTAATTTATACGTCAATAAATATCTTGTTTTCTAGAAAAATTTTGGAGTTGTTAAACAATAAAATAGAGCAAGTATCTCTTTCTCATAAACAACTTAGTCTAACATATTTCCATTTTAAATTCAAGCACTATACTGAGGAAGTCCATACATAGTAAGAAGAATAATAATAAAATACATTTCTAATCACTAAACGCAAAATTTTTATAATAAATGACAATATACTTCATCTTGTTCTTTTAGATACTAGAAAATCACTGAAAAAGCTGGACGTCACAAAATAGTTGTTTTGTCTTTTTTTGCTCAAGAATACTAGGCAGTATACACTACCTTCATTACCAGAGGTCGAACCCAGGACGTACAAACAAAAAAGAAGAATATGCTGTTTTTTACTGTGTTACATTTTATTTCTCTAGTTTAGTTACTGATAGCCTAATAGGTATTCAGTGGATGGAAATTTGAAAAATGACAACGAAGAAGCGAATAGCTTTTTTCCTTTATTTTCTATGGACAACAACCTACTTGACGCCATTCATAGCAAAAACAAAAAATGTTTCTGTAAAAAGAGATATGTACTGTTTTTTTTTTTAATGCACACCATTCATTATCATGATTTTCATTACAGATTCATCTATCAAATAATTACAGTCAAACTATCAGAATTCCCTATTTTCAAAAGTCAAAACAATGTTTAATCAAGCAAATTAGTGGCTTTCAATCTGATTTTTTCCTAAACTTGACAGTGTTAACGCGAAAAAAAGTTGTTTTGCAGCTTTTTATTTAAAAATTTAGAAAACTTTCATCAATTTATGCATTATTTTTGACAATGAGGTAAAAAAATTTCAACAAAAGTAATACGTTTAAGTTTTTTTAATAATAATAATAATATCATTAAAAAGTCTGTTTTTTTTTCTCGCTAAATACAATTTTTTGTAATTTCATTAAAATATTACGCCATCAAATTTATGATAGTTTTTTTGTTTTGTTACGTATATTCGTTACGATGAAACTGTGAAATAATGACTAATGAACAAACACTATGGATAAATGAATTATGTTAATGATAATCATTGGTGTACAATGAATGAATGATGTACTGATGATGATGATGATTACATAGTGAAATATACATTTGAGAAAAAAAAAATTAAATATTTTTAGAGTAGGAGTAAGAATGATAAAATTTTGTAGACTAATATGACAAGGTGTAATATGATTTTAAATGAATGTTTGGCGTAGTTGAAATTGTGGAATTTAAATGAATGTTGAAAATGAAACCGATGAAGAATTGTAATACCGATGTACAGGGGGAATACAGAATATTTGATTAAACATAGTTAGGATTGATGTTAATATAGTTACAAGTAAATTAAATTTTAAAATATGAGATTAAGCAAGTATTATCTAAACAATGAATCATTGTTTAATTAATTAACTAACAGTATTAAGGCTAAGATCAAATTAATATACACACATAATTCATATTATGTAAGAGGTAAATAGAGGTCAAAAGATAAAAAAAAGGTCAAGATAGGAAACATTTTTAATTAACATAGTCATTATAGTAGAGACTAGTTTATCATGCTTTCCGTACAAAAAATATAAGTCCGGTTGGAAGTATAAAAGAAGTTAAATCCATTATAACTGTTTATCAGCCATTTCAAATACATGATTAATATTGGCTTTATGTCTACTACTAACCAAAAGGCGTAAAGACTACAATGGTGAAAACTATGAATTTAACTGAAACCACTAGAATATATTTGGTTCTACACATTTTAAATCATCAATCAATCATTGTTAGACCACTATTAGAAACCTAGAAGCATTGAAAGACGGCCGTTTAGTCCTGCTATGGGACTCAGGCAGTAAGTACCAAAGATAAATGGGTGAGGTCGAGCAAAATCTGTCTCATACCAGGACGAAACGGCAGTCTTTCAGTGCTTCCAGGTTTCTAATAGTGGTCTAACAATGATTGATTGATGATTTCAAATGTGTAAAAACGCAAACCTCCTAAACTCTGCCCAAAAATATCATAACAGTGCTCATTAGTGACTAGCTTCGTGAGGAGATTCTCGGAGTTCTAGTTGAGAAGACTAGTGGAGTTCAACTCTGTCGGATGTAAGTAGTAACTACCGAAAACAAATGGGTGAGTTCGCGCAAAACCCGCAGATCAACCAGAGTTAGACATTAACACCATTGGATGCCGGCTGAGTGGTCCGATGGTTAGGCGTTCGCGCACAATACCGAAGGTCCCGGTTTCGAATCATGCGGGGAGCAGGAGTCATGAATGCTCACTGATGATGAGTAGTCCCATACCAGGAAAAAACGGCTGTCCAGTGCTTCCATGTTTCTAATAGTGGTCTAACAATGATTAATTGATGATTTCAAATGTGTAAAAACACAAACCCCCAAAACTCTGCCCTAATATTTCTGGTTCGTTTTAAATTTATAACAACGCCAAGTAGAAGTATTGAATCTTTGATCATCTGATTTTTCAAAGCGTTTGATTTGCTGCATGCTAGACAAGTTCACTGAAGAAATTTCATATTAATAAAGGCATATTTGATGTTAACCTATCGAACAATAAGTTTCATTAAGTAGAATATTATTTTTGGATTATGAGTTGTATGACTGATAATTTATTAATCCGTATTGTATAGTATAAAATTTCTAATTATTCTGAAACTTTATGTAACATTTAAATAAATGATACTTTCTTAATTATTTATATAATCTATACTACGTCTGTTTAGAAATTTGATATGTACGTATAATTTGAAGTAAAGCTGACAAGTAATATCTGTTGTCGAAGAGAAAATTTAACTGATAACAAAGATATAATAATACTGCTGTACAAAGACAGAAATATTTTTGTGCATATATTTTGAAAAACAAAATATAAAACACTGTTCAGCACATTTATGACACTTGTTCAGGATCAATATTAATTGAACAGTTGTTTTTGAACCAGAGGTTATACAGAGAAACTTTCTCACAATGAACACATACCACGTGCTGGATAATGATATAGTTAGTATTCTCTACCATTGTCGATTTACACTTGAAGCCCTGAGGAACTCTAAATTACTTTTACTACATTTAACATGAACTGCTGCTGATCAAATCTATTCTCGAGCTAGTTAGAGAGTAACAAAAACAGGAAATCAAAGTGAATGGATATTATTTCGATTTCGATATTGTCGTATAGAAAAACATTCAAATAGTTTTATGAGAATTATTCAGGTAAATAAGTGTTAGATTTTCTACAAAATATCACAAATCATGGAATTTTGATGCTTCATTAGTCATATACATTATCATCAAAAAATATTTGATAGATTCTAGTACAATATGCATGAATAGTAAAAAATGTATTGTCGCCTTATCTATTAGTAGTGGCATACACAAAATATTTAATAAGTTTCAAACTAGTGTATAATCTACTCTCTCTCTCTCGATGATGAATTTTAAACATCCAGTAGGAGTAACGACGTATACAACAGATTATTTGTAAATCAACTAATCTGAACAGTAATTACACACAGCAAAATCTATATTCACTTAGAAAAAAAAACTGACACATTAAAATGCATAGATTTCTCATTACTACTTGTTTATACTGGTTGTACCAGTTCTACTGTATGGAGCGGAAACTTGGAGAACTACGAAAGTCATCACATCCAGAAGATACAAGTGTTTATTAACAGTTGTCTACGCAAAAAATACTTCGGATTCGTTGGCCAGACACTATCAGTAACAACCTACTGTGGGAAAGAGAACAAATCAGATTCCAGTAGCTGGGGAAATCAGGAAGAATTAGTGGAAGTGGATAGGACACACACTACGAAAAGCACCTAACTGCGTCACGAGACAAGCTCTCACATGGAACCCTCAAGGTCAAAGGAAAAGAGGAAGGCCAAGGAACAACACATTACGCCGAGTAGAGAAAGATATGCGAGGAATGAACAAAAATTGGACAGAACTGGAAAAGGAAGCCCAGGACAGAGTTGGTTGGAGAAAACTGGTGGGCGGCCTATGCTCCATTGTGGGTAACAGGCATAAGTAAGTAAGTAAGTAAGTAAGTAAGTAAGTAAGTAAGTAATACTGGTTGAACTGGTTAACTGTCTTCGAAAAATCCTATGAAATATACTGAATGTTTTTTGTTTATCAATGTAATTTTAATTCAGTTATAATTGACAGCTTCACTGTTGAACATCATATAGAAATCATATTGATTTCTATTCAAAATAAACATCAATCACAACAATAAGGTCAAGTCAATGAAAAACGCACAATGGATAAATAATAATCCAGACTAGATTTTTGTGCTACTTATAAGCATGCATAAAAGTAATTAGTGTCAGTGTTTCTCAGATATATTTCGTTTAGTCTGTTAACACTAGAATATCTAAAAAAAATTTTTGAAAGACAGTTAATTATACTTACTTATTGAAAGATTTTTCGTTTATATATATATATATATATATATATATATATTTATAAACTGAAGACACGTTCCGCTATTTTCATTAGTCAGCTGGTTATTTAATTATTGAAACTAGTAGCTATGGACATTCATTAAAAATACTTATGAAATTAACATTTCAATGATTATATATTCCTTTAGGAATAAGTATACAGG